ACACACACACACACACACACACACACACACACACACACACACACACATTAACCCCGACACACACACCCAAAAGCCTCTGCCAAGACCTCACAAGTGACATGGACCTGAGCCCGCTGCTCTATTCACTGGCCCACCAGCTGGTGAGTGAGTCAAAGGGGTCTGCACACTCAAGCAGAAAACATTAGCAAACGGCGTGGGGCTGGCTGCTGTGCTGGCCACAGAGCAGGAGACAGGACGCCCCACACAATGCTGTGGCGATGGGGAGTGATGCGTTTGTGTGTGTGTGTTTAGACACACAAACTGGATGTCCCTCTGGGTCTGTTAACATAATATGTGTGTATCTACATTTCCATTTGTGTGTACGCACCCCAGTGTAAGGGTGCTTTAGTGTGTGTGTGTGTGTGTGTGTGTGTGTGTGTGTGTGTGTGTGTGTAAGCATGCACATGTGTGTGTGCCCTCTGACCAAGGGCAGGCAGGATGCATAAACAGACCTTCCTTTCTACATCTCCATCCAGCCATGACCCAGAGAGGAGGGCAGCAGGCAGACAGGGCCATAGGAGAGAGGCAGGCAGTTGGTTATTTTGTGTGTGTGTGTGTAGGGGGGCTGACACAATAGCATGCCCCCCCCCCCCCAAATCAGTTCCTCTCCGCTTTAAATAGCCATTTCACTGTGCTTCCTTTCAGCAGCATTTCCTAGTAAACACTAATTATCTCAGAAGTGTGACTCTTGGACAAACAGACAAACAATCTTGGCCCCCTTGGCCCGAGTGCCACAGTCTCTGCTGTATCAATTAACCTCGCAACTGAGTGATGACAAATAGTCGAACTATGTAAAACAGCATAACTTGCTGCATTGCAAATGGGGGAGTACCAAGTTCGAAAAATTTGAAGCGCCAAATTACCACACGCGCCACAAAGTTTAAGACCACATGCGGCACGGACAGCTACTGTGAGCCGTCTCGTCACACAAAGTGGATTTCTGCAGCAACAAAAGTTGCTCAACACATAACCGCCTTCAACTGACAGCACTTTAAACTTCAAAAAACCCTACAAGCAACTTGGCCAGGAGGAAACACAAATCACACAAAGCAACAGATCTGACCCTGAAAAAGCAGGAGGATCAGGGAAAAAAAGTAGTCAGCCCTCTGCAAGATGCAGTCAAAACATGGCTTTCTGAGTGTGCCTCCTTTTCTAATGCTAATGTACCAGAGGCAGCCATATTGTTTATTGTAGCTAGGCACAATATGGGACATCTGCCGGTTAGCGTTAGTGTAATTCCCTCCCCATGCTTCATTAACCTCCCCCTTTATGGGCCCAGAGAATGGAGTTGTGGAAGCTTGGACGATGGTGGCGGAGGAGGGTGGGTGAGACCCAAGCGCTGGCCCGGCTGACTAGCGCCGAGGCTAGAGCAGCCAGGCTCCTTGATGTCCTTCCAGCTCATTTGATTCCTGGAGGAGGACCGCTTTCATCAATGACCATGCGGTGGGTCTTGAGTCTGAGAGTGGGTGGTGGATGGCGGGGGGAGGGGGGCTTAAATGGACAGGCTGGGGCAGGGTGGGTTTGTCTGATGCTGGGGGTAGATTGTTTTTAAGGAAAAGTTTACCCATTCTTTTGGGTTTAGGGTCTTTAGCTGAGGCTGAATGTTTTCCTTTTGGTTTTCAAGGGGGACGCTCTTGAATAGGGTTAGAATTTAATGAGATGGGCACAGGTGTGGTAATTTTGGGATTGTTGGACCGGGATCCACTATCGCCGGGGCCAAATGAAGTTGCTAGGAGCGGGGGGGGGGGGTGTTACTGTGCAGTGTCCACTGTCCTAGAAATAACAGGGGATGGTGCCTGTGTCATCTTGTCACTCCAACATTGTCCTTTTGTCCCCTCAAGGCTCCAGCTGTATGGATGTTAGGATAAAGCAAAAGAAGGAGGGGTGCCCTAAGGGGACCGTATGCTTCAAAGGCGCTTGTTGGATCGTTGAACATCGTTAAGAAACCTCCTCCCCTCCAAACGTGTTCCAACGCCAGAATTGTTACTTCCCGATTAAGGCAGATCCCCAGATCACATATTTTTACTGAATATAGGCCAATGATCGGCAGTGAAATGATGGTAAACTGTGTAACTAATCCGCGGTTCACATGCCTCCCTGGTCATTTTCTATATCCAAAATGCTCCCACGCTGCAGATTTAAGGCACTTTTTGGCAGATATAAGGCTGGAATGTTGTTGTTTCTAACATTTTTACAGCTCTTCTAACCGCTTCATGCGAGTGGCACGACTCTCACACACAAACAAACCAACAGCGCAAAGCCAAAAGATAAAACAAATGGTGGAAAACTAGACACATGATACAAATGCTTGGAAAATGACTCAAACAATTAATCTATTAGTTGCAGATACATTTTCTGTCAACTAATCAATTAAGTGACTAAATTGCAACAAATTAATAACAATTTGAATCGGCAGGGTTTTTCATTTAAATGGGTGATTTGAAATACAATATTTGGAGCCGAGCAGCGTGATCAGCACGATCACACCCTATGCTGTATCGACTTCAGCGAAAACCCTGGGAAAGCCTCGGGTGTGATCTACCTGACTCGTCTACGCTTGCACAGCGCCGCACCGACATTGCAGCTCGACACAAAAACTTTCATACATAAACCCGGCCCTGGGGTGAAAGGCAACGGTTACTCAAGCTTCCACAACTTCTCCGTTTTCAAATGTGACACTTTAAACTCTTGAGGACCGTATTCCAAATATAGGAATATACAGTATATATATCATGGTACACAATACATTTACAGACCTTGGGGTGAAACACAATGAAGAGATTTTTAGTGTGGGAAAGATTAAAATAAAAAAAAGGAGACAGTCACAGAGGAAAGGAGGAGGCGCCCCATCCATTTCCGACCTTTTGGCAAAGTAGGAAATGGACACTCGGTGGATTTGTTTAATGAATCGGAGAATGTGATAGTGAGTTTGAATCGGCTCACTGGAATTGTTGATAGAGGGGTGGAACTTCTGTGAAGTACAATTGTTGGCATCAAATTGAGTCCCTTTTTACACACAAAGGGAGGATTTTAAAATCCCGTTTCTCGCAGACACTTTTTCTCTGTCTCCATCTGTAATGCAGTTTAAACTTGCTGGGAGACGGGGCAGAGTGAAAATAGAGAAGGCAGGGAGTCTCTAATTTGGAGCCCATCTGCCACATGTGCTGCGCTTCAAAATGCCCCGGTACCTCTGATGTCAGAGGGAACTGCACTCTGTCCTCTGTGGCCAACAAAATAAATAATCACTCACTCAAACTGTGGCCCTGCAGCGTTCAAGCCAGAGAATCAGCAAATAGCTTCCTATATTACATTACAGTCATTTAGCAGACGCTTTTATCCAAAGCGACTTACAATTCAGAGTCTATCACATTTCTACACCGTAGGCACAGCTACGGGAGCAATTTTGGGGTTAAGTGTCTTGCTCCAGGACACATCGACATGCGACTAGCGGAGCCGGAGTTCAAACCGCCGACCCTCTGATTGAAAGACTGCCCTGCTATCCACTTAGCCACAATCACCCCGAGAAACCAAGCTCACATATATATATTTAAAATACTGTGAATAAGGTTTCAAACTCACTTCTTACGTGTGTTTAAATGTATTCCTCACTGATGCTTTAAAAGTGAAGACAACAGAAGTCACTCACACCATTAAAGACCGCAAACACTATCCGTCTTCCACAGCACTTCGAGATAACAACACCGATGGTTACCTTGATGGTCTCGGGTGGTACTCCAGGATCGGGGGCCTTCTCCAGGTAGGTGGTCAGGTCCTGATCCACGTGCTCAAAAACCAGGGTGAGCTTGGTTTCTCGGTCAGTCCGGGAGACCGTACACACATCAAACAACCTGGAACAAGAGGAACAGGTGGAGGAGATCAATACAATTGATTCAATGGGCTCCGCACTGCTCAGCGTGCTGCAGAGCTTCCGACTACAACTAATATGAGTGAATATCTCTTTGTTATTATGTCTGCATGTTCTTTCTTTTTCCATTCATTCCATTGTTCACTCATTCACCCCTTCCTTCAACAATAGTTTAACCTATGGTGAGCAGTAAATTGAGACGTCAGACTATCGATGACAGGTGTACTGTTGAATGACAGTCATCTTCACATTCAGTAAAGTCAAAGCATTGCCCTTTTCGTACCATGTAGCACAGTTTTATGAACACAATAGCTTTGGTTCCACTGCGTAAAGCTTTGAGATGCACAATTTTTCAATATTCTTTTTTATGGAAAAGGAAAATCCTCCCATGAAAACTCAACAGCTGAGAGCTGGATATAGGAGATTGATCCTCCATTATTGGATATTAAATCCTATGACTCCTGGGTGTTTTTATCCTACAGAAACGTACAAGAGAAAGCTTGGAGGGCAGAATTATCATGTGCTGCAAGACACGCCGATAACATTGTGTTGGGTTCCCCATGAAAAACTACCTCTGTGCGAAGCTTGTAAAGATTCAAGACCATCAAGCCCCAAACACCCAAAGAGTTTGTGGCTGTGTTTCACTAGGCAACAAACTATGGCCAAGAATCCAGATTATGCCGGCAGACCTGCCAAGGCGGGCTTTGGTGAAAAGCTGAAAAAAAGCTATCCACTATGTCCTCTTCAAAGAGCTTGGGGAGCACAAGCAGCATTCCTCAACCGGCACTATGACAACTCCTGACGCTCGATGGGAAGGCGAGTGGACGTCGGCTGTAGCTGCAGAGGCAGCACCTTTCATTGCAACAACACGGGAGACGAAGGGAGCCATCATGGATCTACGTGTTGTAATGGGTTACTGTAATCACCTCACCGTTAAAGTATATTATCCAATAAAGTGATAAATATGATTTGTAAAGTCGGTTTAAATTTGTCGGCTACAACACATTAATCATCGTCTCCCATTACTAAGACTACATCTACAATGTCTTTATTGACCCAATGCGACGATATGTGCCTCAAAATGCAGAGATCGATTGGATTTGAGCAAATATTTAGTGTACGTACCGCTATAACCCAAACTAGCTAATCTACATGAGCCGTTTTAAAATCGGAGCATGGGTAAAAATGACTCAATCTCTCCGAAAACTCTTTCATCCCTATCCAACGAGTCACCGTGCGTCCTTGCCAACCCCCCTTGTAATCAGTGGACCTGGTATTGCTGGAGTCAGTGCAGGGAGTGAGAGGCGATTCATTCAAGGTATTAGTACTGTGCATGATGTCACAGAATAGACGGCGCCCTCCTCTTGAAGCGCTGGGGTTAAACGCCCCTCACAGCTCGATTGTTGGGCTACAATGGGGGCTCTCAGCAGACACTGAACATATGGAATGAATAATGGGTCTCATTACAAACATCCAGGGCTTGCCTGGAGTCACACAGAAGGCCCACAATGCACCCTTCCTGGCCTGAGCTGCTTGGCTAAACTGGAGGATAGTTAACTTCCTCCAATAGTCCAAAGAGCCGCCGGTTTGCACTCTTGAACCGATGTATTGCAACAAATGCTACTGCGTGTTATTTAAACTAATGCTTCCACAGTAGCGCACAAAGTGTGTTCAACCACTAAATAAAACTGACCTTTGTAGAACTTTATAGCCACTGACGCATTTGTCTTACAGTGAGAACAAAACCCATTGTGATCCCATTAAGAGAAAATCATAACCATTATCCTCCATCATTCATTTATGCACAGGGGAATTATTGTTAGAGGCACAAGGGCACTAGCCAAGCTTCTGAAACGTCCATTTAGAGTTTCCCCTTCAATATTCCATAATAAAAAAAGTACCAAGGTCAGACCTTGGCTAGTGCTAACATATGATGCAGTGTCCGACTATCAACCTCGGACTAATCAATTCATCACAAACTGAAAGAAAACATCCTCTGTGTGCAGAGCACAGAGGAGCAAAACAACAAACTAAGTAACTGAAGTTCAAAATGGCTGTAATCAGTCAATCCAGTCTGATTTACAGTAACTGAGCAGGGAGAGTGCCAGTGTCTTGCTCAAGGGTAATTGGACAGCATAGATCAGTATTGATGGGCACACAATAACGTTGAATATATAAAATGCTTCAAACATGCGACATGCTTTTTAATTGGTTGTATAGCTATTTTCAAAACAAGTTACATACCGTATAGCACATTGTAAATTTAAAGAAAACAAATCACATAAATATATACAGATCTTTTTGTTTCAACTTGAATATCAGCCGATCCCAAGTACAAAAAAGTAAAACGTTAAATGGGTTATAATCCCGTCTCTCTGTTATTTTATATTGCTGTGAGAAAATCTCCTTCAAACAATTGTATGTATTTAAGTTTCTCGCCAAAACTAAATTTCACAACTTACATTTGAACACATGACAACGTTATAATAATACTCATTTTTACTGAATAGAGCAGAAATGCAACCAACCAACAATAATATGAAAATAATAGTTATTTTCAGCCCTGGTTTACGTATTAACCATAAAATGAACCTTTGAGTTTGGAAAATGTAATCCCAGATACTTAGAATAGTTTTTACCTGGTAATATTTTCTAATTAAAACTCATGTACGTTACAAAGATCCTGCAGAAAGCTAAAGGAATAATATTAGAAATACCGGCTTTGAATGGACACTTCCCAGGTTTGATGTACTCCAAGCTGATGTGCGTTCATCGATACTTGTCTGTCCTGTCAAAGCGCTGAGCACTCACTACATCAAACACTATTCCACTTGATCAAACTGAATTTTGATTTCAGTTCAGGTACTCTCATTGATTTTTTTTAGAGGAAAGTGCATGAGGTGAATCAATGTAATTGAAGTGGACCAATGAAAGATGATGAAGGCATAGTTTCAAACTGGATACGTCACCAGCAGCACAACAAAAGTGAAGAAACTTCTGATCCGACAGGTGTGCGCCTACTGCCCGATAACAGTGGTTGCAAGTGGCTAGTTGTTGCGCAACCCACATTTTCACATGGTCAGCAGAAAAAGTTCAAAGAAGAGGACGTCTGCTACAAAAAGAGTGAGTATAAGTGTAGGCCTTAAAGAAAAAGTCTCATGGTGCAGCATGGTTGCCATCAGAGACCATCAAACAGAAGAAGTGTGCGTTACTCTGAATTATACACAAACTTAATGTCACATTGTCTCCCCTCTCTCTCTCTCACAAACACATACATGGCTACCCACCTCTACCCCACACTTACCTGACAACATTGGGGTGCTCAAAGGCCTCCAGCTGCCTCAGTACCGCCACCTCCCGGATGGTGGAGAGAGGCATCCCCTCTTCCTCCGTCTGGACACGAACCCTTTTTAGGGCTACAAAGCGTCCGCCGTTCTTCAAATCTCTCGCCTTGTACACTTTCCCATAAGCGCCTTCTCCAATCTCGGCCACGGGTTCATATTGAGTACCAGTACTTTCTTTGTCCATTTTTGCAGATTTCTTTTTTTTGCCCCTCTCGTCTCTTGTTGAAACTACTGCGGGGAATCCCGGCGAGGTTGACGAGCCAGAGGGTTCCTCACAAAGGCATATTCACAGAAAAAAGTTGGCACATGCAATGCCTAGATGACAGGGAGACACAGATGGAGGAAGACACCATCTTTGTCAGATTTGGTCAAACGGTGCTCCAGGTAGGCAACAACAGGACTGTCATGATGTTTTATTCCGACTATCAACACAAGAGCCCCGTTGCGTCCCGACTTCCACTCCTCCTCCTCCTATTACGCACAGCAACTCATGTCCTCCTACCACTAACACACAGTAATGCAAAATAATTAAAACGAGCCACATTTACCCTCTTCTTAAAGCTATTATTTGCACCAAATAAACAGCCTCGCGTGTTAAGCAATTCGCCCCACATGCAGTGTTGTTGAAGTTAGTTCATGTGGGCTGTCCAACTCTGTTAAAAAGGAAATTAAACATTTAAAGAGAACACGCGAAACGGGAGCACAGACCTCACACAGCACGCTGTGCTTAAGTTAGCAAACTAACTGCATATTCTGTCCCGTTTTATCAAAGTTTCTGTTTGAGGCGACACAAACTTGGCGAGCACGTGGCTGTCTACTGATTGCATTGTCTGAACTTCCTACAGCAACAATCCATTTAAAACACAGTAAAACTCATATTTCGCACCCGCAATCGCTGTAAGTGTGTAAAACAAGGCAGTAGCAGGGTTTAAACGATGTTTTCATTAGCTTAGATAGCTTCCTCTAATTGTTTTTAATTTAATTGTGCGTGGACTCAAATGGGCTCATTTAAATGCTGGCAAGTCGGTGAATTGCTCTTTTCACTTCTCAAAATATGATTGCGTTGTAAAGTAACATTTCTAGCCTCGCAAAGAAAAAAAAAATGCACACAATTCTGCATAAATATCCACACTTTCAGTGTTTACCTTGGTATATGTTGTCAATAAAAATGTCGCAACTTCGGCATGTCCGAGGAAATGCTGAGGAGGCATTCGTTTCTCGGATTTAAAAAAAAAAAGAAGTGCATCAAACGCATCCCTGTCCACTGTCCTCCATGCGGGGGCCACACAGGTAGTTGGACGGTGCAGGCTCTAATCCCCCATCCCTCAGACTGCACCAGCCCAGGCAGAGACACTCAAACGAGGGAGGTGGCGGCGGAGGGCTGTACGAAAACTCACACACCCACACTCTCACTGCAACTTTGTGTGTATGTGTGTGGGTGGGGGTTGAGGGGAAGGGGGTGTAGGATGGGGGGGTCAGAGGACAAAGGCAAACGCGTGATACGGCCCTCCAAAACCACGCTCTTCTTTGGATTTTCTCCTTTCTTTCTTCTTCTTTTTTCTGCCATATATCCCCGGATAGCCCCATGCAACTGCAGCCCCGCTCGCCCGTGTGAGCTCCGGCTCTGCCTGGCTTTCCCACGCCGGCTGAATGTGGCCTGACCCCCTTCAGAGAGGTTTGACACGGAGCGAGGACATTTCCGCATTCCTCCCCGACTACAAAGGCAAACCGCCTCCTTTTTGCTCTCCCTCGGCCTCCACGGTGCTTTGCCATTCAGAGTCCCCTCCGCGTGTTTTGTCTCCTGTGTCAAAACTGGGAGCTCCGCGGGGATCGGAGAGGGGAGAGAGGCCGTTTATTGGATGGACGGCCACACTATCTATCTCCCCTTCAAGCCATTGAGGAACTCCGGCGGCAACAATGCGCCAGCGGGGATGCAATGTGTCAAGCTCGCCCTACAGATGGTCCTGAGGGGTCAGGTTCAAGGCCCGGGGGCTTGATCGGTGGCAGGGGGTACTCCTCCGCTCGGGTGGTCGTCTGCAAGTCTCCATGCCCGAGGGCAGGCGTGGTGGCCGCGTGGGCGACTAGATAGCAACTTTTTTTAACACATTTTATTTCACAGCAAAAGATGGAAGATTATGAGATTCTGCGTGTTAATTTATAACATGTAGTTGTAGTATTAATAATAATAACAACACTTATTAGTATTATTTGTTTAACACTAACAAAGTTACACACAAATAAATGTAACTTTTTAATTTAAATGTATTTAATTAATTTACAATTCAACAACGATATAAACATACATGTAGCCTACACATTCGCCTATTATGTTAAGGAATGTACTATGAATACATTTCTGCAATAATGAATACATTTCATTGTCATTTCTTAAAACCTAAAACTTTACATTTAAATATTTAATTGTATACTTTAATTATTGGCTTTACCATTTTCTTTTAATATTTTTAAAATGTTTAAATGTTGCTTTTTAATAGGACCTCATCGTGCTTACATTTCTAACTTTATCTAACTAACTTCCATTGTGTATCAGATGTAGACATTTTAAATAGTATGCTCCTGTCTGAAAGTTCTTCAAACTCTGACATAAACAAAAAACGTTTTTTCTTCTCTTTTAATACTGGACACGGTTTAGACATGACAAGACTTGATGTCAGATTAACCCAATGAATAGCCAGTTACAGGCGTGTAACCAAGCCGCATTATCATAACTTCATTGGGAGGCTGTATTAGAGATGCACAGAAGATCAGAGAAAGGACATTCCCCCACTGCCATTATTAACATAAAAAACTTGTTTTGCATGCTGCTTGTAGAATTCACTGAAAAGGCAAAGTTGGGGGAAATAATGACATGGAAGTATGTATGACAATCTCTCCTGCCCAACTTTATAGGCAGCACCCAAATTTAAACTATTTGCATCACAAAAGACACAATGCAGGCAATGTTTCCCAGACCAATTACTGTAAATGTGGCCATTTACATTTCTTCATCATCATTGTTCTTGTTAAATCAGCTCTGAGAGCCATCGCCCAGATTGAATACATTAGCATGCATACTTCTTATCTGGCTGGAGAACAAACCAATTAGATTCGTTGTGTGCGGTATAGAGATGAGAGACAGACACACATATACATTATGCAACACTCATTGATTAGTCATAGTCTGACAAAAAATACTCTCTAAAAAGTTTCCTCTGTTTGTCATGTTCACCTTGTCATTTTAGAGAAGTCTCAGGAACAAGATCAATCAAGAACACTGGAACAATATGTAAAATGTAATTTAATGTTTAATTTGCCCTTTGAACAATAATAATTCACAAGATTAAACAATTATTATACTTGTTTTAGCTGATGGTGTAATTTTAGTGGACATCAAAAAAACCGACCTAATTACTCGTTTAAACATTAATTTTCATTATTTATAATGGTTATTGATTAATTTATAAAAGCGACACCTTATTTTGTAACTTTGACAAGAAGCAGTCACAGAGAACAGGGCGAGAAAAGAACTGGTTCGTCTAGATATTCGGACACAAATGGTTGCCTAACATGCTTATGTGGATTTGGTGACTTCAGGCACATTTACCAGAGTGTTACTCAATAGGTGCATTTCTAATTTAGCTGCAGATGTTTCTGCTATGATGTGTAGATGTGGTGTGTTAGTCATGTGGTGGAAGAGATACTCAGGTCCTTCAGTATAAATAGTGAAATAAACATGTACAAATTCAAGATGCTGCTTAAAATGAAAGTACAGACTTATAATTAGCTAAATTAAATTATCAAAAGTCAAAATATGCATTCTGAATTAACAAATAATTATTCTGAGTGTTATCTGATCTAAGCCATTGGTGCTAGTTTTAACCTTGTTTACTTGAAGGTACCTTAATGCAACCTATAGGCGTAGAATAAATCTGGGGGGTCGTAAAGTGATTGATTGGAGAAATAAGAAAAGTTATACTACACTAATTTGGACTCATTTTTGGTTTTCTAATCTTTGCTATTTTGTGAAATATTGGATAATTGTATGTGACACTGAAATTGTTATTTAAATTAAACCATCTGGTATTTATTTTTCCGTAAGGGCAAGGCAGGGAATCACTTGTTTAATTTCTAATAATGTATAATTTTTTTTATAGATGTGTCAAATGTCTTTAATGCTAGTTCCTGGTCTGAAATTTAACTAAAAACAAAAGCTGTCAGATAAATGATGTGGAGTAAAAAGTACATAATTTTCCTCTGAAACGTAGCAAAGTGTAAAGAAGCATGAACTGGAAATACTAACGTCAATTATACATACCTTCAAATATGTAGTACTTTAGTAAATGTACGTATTTATTTGTAATTGGTGTTAATAGCAGGTGGCATCTAGTTTCCCAGTATGTAGCTTTAAACTAGTGGCGTTCATCAAGTTTTGTGGTGGCTCCTTATCAAAACATTTAACACTCCCATACAGCAGTTAAGAAACACAACACAAGTTGCTGCCAAATGCTCCAACTGGCATTTCAGCTCAGTATTCCTGAGAATCTGCTACTGAGGGCCACTCCTTTACATTTGACCAACAAATAATACTAAAAAGGTGATCTGACTGTCTTCTATCCGTCAACATGTTCGCTTCATTGACACTGAGGTCAAATGGTCAAGGTTTGTCAGGCAGGTTGTCCAGACAGTTCCTCTCACATGTGCAGGTCTGGTAATGAGCTCTTTCAGCATATTTTAATGTTGCTGTGGTAAGTCTGTGCAAGGTGTTTGGGGCAGAACTGCTCATTCTTCAGGTTCAAGATAAAGGATCAAATATTAGGGGAAAAGAAGAAGGCAAACATTATAGTTGTGTAGACAGTGCAGCTTGCTTTCATGGGTTTCTTATTTGTCTGGTTGAAGTCTTTTTCAAATCCTTTTCAATCTCTTATCAAATCTGTTGACATATCAGCAGTAACAAAGAAAAAACAGAAAAAGGCTCCATTCATTGATGTTTTGTTCACTTGGGGCAGCGGTGAAAGCTGTAAACATCATTGACACATCATACTGAATAAAGTCTTTATGGCAGTAAAGTTGTCTTTCCAAACATCCAGCAGAGCAACATCAGCATTCAGCTGGAGTCGTGTTTCTGTCCTCCCAACAATCGAAATCCAATGTTCACTCTTTGTGGTCTGTTGTGGTTTCCACCAAGTTCTGAGGGAAACGTCCGGCCCTTTAGCTGCTAAATGCTCCAACACCTTCACCAGCTTGTTGCTAACGTGTAGTGTGTGCTAGAAACTGTAACCCGCTGCAGCCGGACACCGTTGATGAGACGGGTGAAAGTGAACCAAAACAGTACCAGGAGATCCAAAACGATGTGCTAAAAGACACAAAAACATAGCGCTGAGCAGAATGAGGTATTATTAAGGTATTAGTCCACTTTTTTTTCTTCATAGATCATAGTTGTTTGGTGCTATATTAAGAGTTGAGCTGAGAAAACTACAGGCAGGGGAAAATTCTCTGTGTCATGTTACACGTCATAAGAAAATATTGAAGAATGTTTCCCTTTTCAAAATGGATCTAGCTTTCCCTGGTCATGAATTTGAGGCCTTTACAGTAAAGTGTCATGTATTCACTGAGGTGAGTCATTTGATGCATACTGTGCCGCTGCTTTTGTCCACACCCAAAAAACGCCAGCCCAATCTTTCACTCGGATTTTGAGATGTGAAGAAAATTCATTGTATTTGTGTGTCTGAATGTGTTGCCTTTATCCCTGTGTGTGTGTGTGTGTGTGTGTGTGTGTGTGTGTGTGTGTGTGTGT